ATGAAACTCAAACTCTAAGAAAATTACCAAACCCCAAAACCCCAAAACCCCAAAACCCCAGAGGGCTAAATAATCTAGAGGAAGTTCATGTGGATGATTTTGTAATAGGCAGATAAAAATTAATAAATTTCAAATTTAATAAAGTTTATAATGGAAATTGCTAATGCTGGTCTCAGCAGCTAAGCTGCTAGAGATCAAGTCAAGAGAGAGTTAACAGCTAAATAGCTTAAGAAACTTAAAGTAGACATTAACCCCTATGAATGGACGAAGCAACTAGATTTGTTTTTGCTAGATTCAGTGATTAGAAACTACTTCAACTATGACATGGTATCGCTAGAGTTAAATGATGAGGCCAAGAGACTTAATCTTTATTTCGGCGCTACGCACTCGTTTACCAATCACAAGTGTAGAATTAGATGGTCATATCTCCACATGAAGGTAAATTTCATTAAGAGGATCTAATATAAAAATACAGAGATTATTGGACAAGGAAATTAAGTACAGACAACTTCCATTCAGAGTCAATGTAGAGGAGAAGGAATTAGAGTAGGAGAACAAGACTTTAGATCTGAACAAAAATAAGAAAGAGCATGAGCAAAAACTGGCTGAGCAAGAACAGAAGAGGCAAAGATTGCAGGAATCTGAGCCACAAAATTTACTTGAGCAGAAGAAATACGAGGGCATTACTCAGATGAAGCCTCCTAAGTCTCTGGCTGATATTGAAAAGGAGCTTTGGAAAAAGAATATTACTTTCCACACTAGACAGAAGAAAGATATACTTGATGTTAGCAATGAAGACTTTTCAAAGAATAAGTCTATTTCAGCTGACGGCAAGGAAATTAACCCTTCGAGTAATCTTTATATAAATCCTATTAACTCTATTCTATAGATTTCAACATATTCAGAGATAGTTTGAGGAAGACTTCAGAGAAACTTCTCCAGACACTGTAAGAAAACCTTCCAGATATCAATCTCAAGGAGTTAGAACTGGAGTCAGAGAGTGAAAAAGATGAAGACAATACTGATGATGAGGAGGTGCTGCCTTTAGATTTCAGAACTGCTTTGATTGAAGGGGAAAACAAAGTAATTATCCAGGCCAAGCCACTGCACTTCAAGACTGACGAGGAATTCCTTAAGGAGATGGAGTAAAACCTAGAGAAGGACAAGCATAAATTCCAAAGCATTGAGTCCTATCTAGATGCAGTTAAAAATGAGCCTTTTAAGGATGAAAATGTGATCTTAATTGACCCAGATATTAACATTAAGGAGAAGTTTGATCAGATTGATTTGCTGTGCAACAAGGAGCACAGGATTAATAATGCTCTTAATGCCCCTGTTAAAACTAAGGAGCAGATACTCAGAGAATAGCATTTGCTGAATTAACTTAAAACTTAATAAAAAGCACCTGTCAGTAGTAAGCAATATGACACTGATACTGATGGAGAGGAAGAATTTATGCAGAATCAGAGAAATCAAAGCATGAACAATATAAAACAGAAAATGCAATAGTAACAATAGTAATAGCAAATGAAATAGACTCTACATAACTCTAATATCAAAGCAAACTCTGATAATCTAGATTTCAACGATGTTTTAAAGCAGTGGGGTGTATCAGACTTGAATGCACTGATTCCAGGAGTGTCAAGTGCAAGTGAATCGGAAAGTGAAAGAACCAATAAAAAGCCAATTCCTAAGCAAGAGAAAAAGCCTGAATAAAAAAATGAGCCAAGCCAGTAAGTTCATTCAGGATAAGGAGAGAGATCTGCTCAATAAAGAATAGGCTTAATCCAGAGTATAATGCAGGAGAATAGAATGGCTTAATAAGCTAGATCTGATTAAAATTCTCAGCCTACTTCGATAGATATGTTAATGTCCTCTTTACAAGATCTTTGAGATATTATTTTATGACAGAATTTAAATTAATATAGAGTGAGTGAATGATTTATATCTTACATATTCTAAAAATATTAATACAACTATCTTCTCTGATTTGACTGTAAATTACAACTTGAGGGGTTTTGGGGTTTTGGGGTTTTGGGGTTTTGGGG